GCGTCAGTGGGGTCTCCATATTTGGAGCGGAATATATGGGCTAAGACCTTCGATGTAGCACGCTTCTTGTAATGTCTACGCGTCTCAGTTTCGCAAGTGTGGTCCAATTGACACTTCTTAATAGTGTAATAGCCGCAACTGGTGAGCTCTTTTGCGAAGATTCTCCAATCACAGCGAGGGTCATGGCAACTGAGGACAATTGAATGCCTGCTGGTTCTGGTTTGCCTGAAATAAAATTGTTCTTTGATGGCGTATATTGCGAGACCAATTTGGCAGTCTTCCTTTGAGGCATACAGTTTTCCAACACAAGGTTCATCATCGTCTATATCCAAATCTGGGATGGTCTCAACTTCATACAAAGTGTCGTCAAACAGGGGGGGATGTCGAATTCCTCATCACTAATCTCTGATAGGGGACGGGTCTCACGGGCAGGTGGGGTTGGTGGATGGGGCAGGTCAGGCTGAGGGTAGGATGGGCGAGCTGTACTGGTGGAGCCAGACGATCGACGGTCAGGCGTACATGTACGAGTCTGTACGGGTGGAGGAGGTACATCATTTGACGATGAACGGACTTCAGGTTTAGAGTATGGTGGTAGTTCGCCTGAGACAATGACTGTGTTATCAAAAGCATTACCAGTGGTGCAGGGGGCGATATGGGGTGCAGTCTTTGGTACTGAGACCCCCACCATGAGCTCGGCAGCATCAGACCCACCAAGGTGATCGTCAATGAGGGGAGCCCAGAAGTCTTCGTCATAACCACGTGGTTGAACATCGTCAAAACCGGGAGGAATCGAAGTGTCGGACTGACTTTCATCATCGTCGTCCGTTATCCAGCTGTCTGGTATGTTGTCGGGGTTGTTTGTAAACATTTTTTGGAGGAGCTCATCTCCGCATAAGAGGGTTTCGTCTGCAGTGACAAAGCGATGGGCTTGTGATGGAGCTCCGCTCCCTGGCGCAGTTGTTGTTTGTTGTGTATTGTTGTTGTGAAAAAGAGAAATAGGTGGGATCTGAGACACGGATGGTGAACAGTGTAGAGGTTGACCGCTAACTGTGTTAGACTGCCGACTAACATGGTGCAGAGGAGGATAACTCCCAGGGTGGACAGGCTGTACAGGTGCTTTTCCACGGCGGTGTACAGGTGGACAACTCTGGGAGTGTACAGGTGGACGGGGCAGGGTGTGTACATGTTGATGCCAATTAGTATGTACGGATGTAGACCTTGGAGGCTGTACAGGCGGACAATTGGGAGAGAGGT